TCAGTTTAGGAATAATTGTGTACAGCTACAGGGAAAGAAAAATGTCCTGGGATTCGTGTAATAGAATATACCGGAAATTAATTTAAAAAAAATTAACTGCGCGATTCGAAAGAACAGGAAATTTTACATAAAAAATGTTAATAAAGTTTTTTTCTAAAATGCGAATTGAAGGCTGTAGATTTTTTTTTTTGACGTACGAAAAATGAGACGGGCGGTCCCCAAGTAGGTATAGCTCTCGAAGAGCGCGCGGCCCCGAGCGCGCTACACTAAATTTGTTATAACTTTTGATCTAATTGATCAAATCGACCTCACAAAAATTTAAATGAAAGAAGAGTCATATGGCTATAAAAATTGTATGTCTTTAAACTTGAGAAAAAAAATATATATAGTACGTATACAAAGTTACGTCATTCCATAATTTTATACAATAATAATAAAATAGCTGTCATTCTTTTAATTTTTAAAATAAATTGTAACTTTCACAGATTACTCTTCAAATGACGATTGAAACAGTGAGCGATATGGAAAAAATCTTAAAAATTTAATTTGTAAAATATTGAGCCCCATATTCAATAATTTTACAAAATCACAAATTTGACTTTTTAGGCCATACTTTACAGATCAAAAACTATAGTTGTAAATGTGATATTGAAACTTTATGGGAGCACTTTATAAAGCTTAAAATCCTCTACTTTAAGATAGTGCATTTTATTTTTCTTAAAAAATTGAAATAATAGTTGAAAAACAAAAAAATAACAAAAAAAAATATTTCATGAAAACTCCGTGAAATTTATTGTTAAATAAAGTTTAATAATGTACAAAAAAAAATTTTTTTGGTCTAATAAACCATCAAAGAATTAAGTTAAGACCTTAAAAAAAGTAAATCCAGCAAAAAATATTTTTTTTATTTATAGTAATAAGTGGAAAATTGTTACAACATCAAAAAAATAAGGTTTTTTTGATGAATTGATTTAATATTCATTTTTAAAACGTATATTCTGTATCTGAAATTGTGAATATAATTTCTCTTATTGATGTAGACACATATATGAGTCCAATATACAGTTTGGGTGACGAAGCTAAGCAGTGGGCACACCAAATATTTTTTTGTTACTTGCAGTTTTATTTATTTTAAAAGCGTTTTTCGTTTATAAGAATTAAATAATTATTAATTATTCCTGGGCGCAAATGCGGCCTGCGTAATAATAATATGCCGCCTCCTCTCCCGCACAAGTCTCCGACTTATGGGCTAATTCTCGTGGTTAGAATGAGGAGTAGAGATATTACTATTATTATAAATGGTATAAGAACATGATTTTTATGTTTTCGAGTAAGCTGCAGTTATCAGTGTGTTAAAAAGTGTATTATTCACATATTTTGTCCATTTTGAGGTTATACTCTCGTACACTTGTAATTCTTTAGTGTAATATATATATTTTCAATAAAACCTCTTCAGCCATTTATAATTTCCATTTTTCGAACCTCTATATTACAAATATAAGCGAATTCATTGAATTATTTTAAATGTTCTTAAAAAAAACTATTTATTACTGTTTAAACAAATAAAAAACAATTAGCGTACAAAAATAAGTTTATAACTTTTTTCTAATACTTATCTCCAAGTAATTTCAAAGGGTTTTAGGAAAATCCATGCTTCCCATAATTATTTCGAAATAATGCGTAATTTTAAGCTATCTTGACTCCACTATTTACGAACAGTTTGTTTTTACTTTGACAGTTTCCATAATATTTTGGTTTTTCGGATAATGGATAAAGTCAAGATTGCGTTGAACCATCCTTGTTTATGTTTTTCCATTATTAAATTTACTAAACAGATCTTTAAATATTTTATAAAGGAAGTATTTAGGTAAAAAAATAATGCTGATCTATGTGTGTCTGTGTGTTTTATTTAACTCCTAATTAATATTAAGAAGTTAATGAATAACAATGACAGAATTAGCTTAATAATTGTTTAGTATAGCTCTCAAACAGTCACACCGTTTTAGATAAACTTTTTTTTCGGTTGAACATGCAGTATATCTTCACCCGAAATGGATGCAATGAATTCCTGTTACCATCACCAATTCGAAAGCCTAACAATGAAGGAGAATCATCTCCTTTCGAGTTCCGAAATTGGTTAGTGAACTGGTCGTTCCCTTTGTGTCGAATATACAAGGGGTAGGTTATAAGATATAATAAATATGAAAAGCGGGGGATGTGTATGGAAAGGGAAAGACCACATTTCAGGCAGGGGCAATATTGGTTGCTCCCGTTTAGATGAAATATATTTGAGAGGGTTTTTGTAAATATGATAATATATATTTGAATAACTTCGGTAGTATATGCCGTCTGCTCCTATCATATGTCTAACGGAGTGGATAGAATGTCTTAAGATATTTGCAATTTAAGTATTAATACGTAATATTTCTTTGATGGTATTCAAAATTCTTCATTAAAAAGCCTAATATCTTTTTCCAGTAATTTACATGCAAAACAAACTCTATTTCAACTTATTTTAGAAATCAGAAGAAAAGTTCAATTTTTGAATCCTTTTATTTGTTTAAAATAGACTACCGGTTTCGAAGTCAATCATTTTCACCTCATCTTCAGGTCCTACACTACAATATAATATAGTTTGTTGATCTAGTAAAGTCAAAATATGTTTAATTTTTTAACCTCTATACAATAATTATTAATTTTTTTACAAAAATAAAGTATTTCATTTTTAATTATTTCTTAAGTTTTACTTTTTTAAAATGTTAAAGTTAGGCAGAGTAAATATAAAAATAAATCTTTTCTACATACATATCACAATTACAGAAATCAATTCAACAATTTTTAATATCCAAAACATATTAAGATTTTTGTCAAGTTAGATTAAATTAACTCTTAAAACAAACATATGATAAAGATCAAACGTTACAAATACACAGGTTATTGTTAAATTCAACTTTTCAGAGTGAAGCTTATATTTTTATTAATTTTTTACCAAAGTTTTTTAAATTTAGAACTAGCGTCATCTATCCTATACCTAACTGACTAAAATGAGAAACTCAAGAAGAAAACTATAAATTAAAATGAAGTGTCAATGAAAAGTGTATTTTTTTGAAAATTTTTAAGTAAATGTTTCGAAACAAACAGGACAAGGGATATCCCTTACAGGCTGTTCTAATTTCACTATAAATGTTTACAATAAATATAATCACTTTCGTTAAAGAACAAATATTAGTTTTTATTTTATCGTCAGAGAAAACGATTCTATGATTAAGCAGTAAATGTAACACTTAAAAAAACTACTACTAAAGCTACGCCTGTCAATCGGCCAAAAATATTTTTATGTGTATTATTTTTAATTTTGATATATGTGGCACAGAACACAGAACAGGTGTTCAAACAAGCCTTTACTAAAATGTGAAAAGTAATATAATTTTTTTTGTGAAACTTGAATACACCAATCACAAGTTAGATAATACTTGAGGTAATATATTATATTTTCGATATTAATTTTCGGGTATCAAATATATGGACAACTTGTTAACTTGTCTTAACAAGTTATATCATGAGGAATATTTTAAAATGGGATCCAATTCCTGTATATATGTTTATTTACACCTTGTCAAACTTTTCTCACGTAGAAGGTACATAACAAAAATTAGAATCAAGCGCTAATACGGGTAAGATCGATGGAGCTACATCTGGTACTTCGACACCATTTCTTCCAAACATCATCTGCCGTTGCGTTGTTTTCCTAAAAAATATTCGCGGAAGTTTTTTCGCGGGCTTCATTCATTTACATCATCCATCATCACATTGTATGAAATTCTTAGCGCCTGGTTGCTTGCTTTATATAATAACAATAACGCGGAGATAAATCTGTTAAATTTAAAATAAAGCCGAGGCAGCTCCTAAATGAAATATGTAGCATATAAATTCGGATGAATTATAAAGATCACCCGGGAGACATGCGAAGCTTTCACTTATTATTTTCCACGTAATGGAGGATTTTATATAAATCTTTAACGTTACATTTAAATTTTAAGCATTCGAAAGCCTTCGTTGAAGCACCAGGGGCAGAGAATACTTTTAGAGTTGTTTCCACTGAAAAATGGAGCAATGAAAATGACTTTTTTAACTCTATTTTAAAGCTATCTTGTATTCTTGTTGTTCTGTTATCACCATCGACAAATATTAATCGTAAAAAAACCAGTTACTGCAAAGAAATATTTTTGTTTTCACATTATACTTGGAAGCCGCCCTTTTCGTATGGAAGTAATAAACAGTAACAGAAAAAAATTGCATACAATTTTTATCGAAGGACATTGACTTCGTTTGGTAAAAACTTTTAGAAAAGGGAAGTAAATCTGTTTGAATTAGCTTTGAAATAGACCAAAATAATAAGAATTATTGCAACTTTTTTAATGCCGTACAATGTTGTCAATCAAGTAAATAGTTCATGGTGATTTTACTGCAAATTATTAACAAATTAGTGTGTGTTAGCCTTCAAACACAGCTTAAAAAAAATCGAAAAAATAATGGAATGTGAGCATCTATTTTATACTGTTGACTTCAAGTTGTTCAATAAAAATTGACTCTAACAATGACTGTTTAATGGTGGTCAAAAGGTGGAAAAAATTGAGACATATTGTAATGAAACAATTTAATCAAGTGTAAAGTTTTGACATTTACGTATAATTTCTTGTTGTATTTGATTGTACCGTCAAATTCTCTAGCATTTGTGATATAAATTTTGTTTAGGTTTAAGATTGATAATTAACAACAAATTAAATAGAATTTCTCAGTATTTGACTGCAACAATTAATTATTGTACACGTCATAAGATTAAAAGGTAATCCTTGCTATCCATTACTCTTACTTGTTGTAGGTTAATGTTAAAATATTATTTACACAATTATGGCGATTAGATTAATTATGTAATAACAAACAAGGCGCATCTAAACCAACTAGGATGCAGCGCCTATTCCAACCTCAGCCACTGTACTACGAGTATAAACAAATATTCGAGGTTTGTGTATTCTGCATAGTAAAATAAATTTCGTCATTCACTCTTGTTGAGATCTCGCACAACATCACTTTTCCTATTGAAGACTAAACATGATACAATCAACAGAATGGCTGGCAGACTTTTATTCTACAATATAGGCAGGAAGCACTCTATTATACGATAACCATGCCTGAGTGATGTTCAGATTATTCGAATAAGCCTTTCGTCAAGGTTAGCCATATCTTCGACAAAAACTGACTTGCAGCATTTCTAAAAATCGCACGTGTTTCGAATGCGACTCGTCCCGTATCGCGTAAAAATCTAGTGTAGCAAAAACAATCCTATAAACTAATATTTTTTGTGTACAGTGCAGTTGTTATCTTAACCTTTGTGTCTCTGATGTTTTTGTTTGTTAGCGAACTTTGTGCGGAAGTTTTAATTACTTTTTTATTGTGACTTGGAATTTCCGACTCGTTTCAAAGACGCTGTACTTATCCGGACAGTTTTATTGTGAGTACGATTGTAAAAAATACGCAGCAGATTGCATCGTCGTTGTTATAAGCCGGTATTTATTAATGTAAGTTTAAAATTTTCTTTGCAGTTTTTATCGGAGCTACAAATAATTTTTACTAAAACATTTTTTGCTTGTTAAATCGTTTACTGATTAAAAAGAAAATTATTGGGTTTTCATTTAATTTAGAGAAAAATACTAAATTCTTGTCAATGCACATAACTGCTTTCATTTGTCGTTATACAGAAAAATTTACATATCTTGCAGTTACAGTGGACTTTATTTTTCAAAGTTTCAACTGTTTAAGAAGATATAAACTTTTTTTAATCCATTCGTTCGTGTGTTTCCACATTTTGAGAAGCGCTGTCCACATGGAAGGTAATCATTTATGCATACGTATCAAGAAGAAGAATATAAATGAAGAGTTTGCCAGATCATTTGTCAAGAAAATTATTTAAAATAAGATTTATTTCCATGCTACTGGCTAAATCTAGTACTACTAAATTCAGCTACTTATTATTTACTAAAATTACATTTCATCAACAACCTGTCAAGCTAAAGTTGTCACAACCTTCTCATCCATATGTATACAACAAGTCAATTTCTAGTTGCAACACAATTATAAATTAATTTAAAATTTTATTTGGAACACACGAAACATATATTTCGAATGAGAAAGTACTGACTTTCCCACAGACTGTATGGCTTTTTTAGAAAATAATATAAATAACTGATTAAAGTTTACCGGTTCTGTGTAACATTGGCAACATTGTATTGTTGATCTCCCATTACAATTGATAAATGTTACATATAAATGTCACAATGAACCCAGATGTTCTCAACAAGTTCTTATTTGACTTTGTTGTTCCTGACTTTATTAAAAAAGTACTAATTACATGTTCAACAAAGTAAATCGTTGTTTATAAAATATGCATGCATTTAAAATTTACACGATTCACTCATTCCATATAGATTTTTGTAGAGGGAATGGTTATAATCATATTAAGTATATTATGATTGGTATAAAATAAGTAGTTGAGTTAAAACTGTTGTTAATTGAATTAAATTACGATTTTAATTACAAAAATTATATGCGCAATATACCAATACATACCTTTGAATTGTTTCATTCCCAATAATATAAATGAGGATGAATTTTGTAGCGTTATAATAAATTGCATGAGTAACCATCAAATTAATTAAAAGGTATTGAAAATGTAATTTCCTTAATGTAGCAATTCATTGAAATGTATTTTACTTTTTATTTAAAATGAAATGGGGAATGGTGTCGTTTGTATGTAAATTCAGGATGAAAATTGTATGTTACGGTAAATGCACATATAGATATTTTAGTATAATTTTACAAGTACAGAGTGATGCACTATATTTTGACCCACCCTCTAACTTTTTTGTTTTAAGAGTTATAAAAAAATGTGAAATATAAAAGTTGCACGAGTTTTTATGAATTTTTCGAAAATGATCATAGAAAAACAAATGAAGTCAAACAAAATGGCCGCGGATGTTAACTTTGTTAAGTTAAATGGAACACCCTGTATATTTTTACATATTTGGATAGAACGTTCCCTGTTGAGCATAGTCATGTAGGGTTTGTTGGGTCCATCTCTAATAATAAGCGAGATAATATTATAAAAAACGAAAAGGTTTTTTTATTAAGACATTTTGTAATTGTTAGACCTCTTTCAAGCATTTCTGCCTTTTTTCCAATTACGTAAGGATTTACAGATTTAGTTAAAATATATTTTGATATATCGGACATTGATACGGTCCAAAATGCGTATAGGTAATGTAACGAAATCTCACTAATTAGGTCGTGAGAGGTCTAATTACTCGTGGACATTATATGGTAGGTCGTGACAATGACAAGTAAGTAAGGTCTTGACAACATTGTTATTGATTGACAGTTTGTATTATTATTTAATTAAAATAGGTTACACAGAAGTAGAAAATTATTTAGAATTAAAATAGAGGATGGAGAACTTTGCTCTATTTTAATTCCTATAATATTTCAATTTTCTACTTCTGTGTAATTTTAATTAAATAATAATATAAACTTTTATATTTCACATTTTTTTATAACTCTTAAAACAAACAAGTTAAAAGAAGGAGTCAAAATATAGTGAATCACCCTGTACATGAGATCGAAAATAAAACCAAACAGCAATGTTCAATAGATGGCGCTGCAAAGCATAAGAAGGTTCAGCTAGTGGCTTATAAATTTGAAATGAAAGAACTGATTTATCTGAAGTTACTTATTTGTGATGTACCTAGTTGTACAGAAGCAACAACTTTGAAACGAATTCAAGTACAACATTGATTAATTTGTTTGAGATACTATGACATACTCTAGAAGCAGACACACCTCTCGTGAAGGTACCTTACTATATACTTTAAGATCATCAGCGGAAAAATAGTTTTAGAGAAGTAATGGCGATTTCAAGGTCATTTATGAATAACGGATACAGAAAAGGGTCCAAATTTGAGCGTTGTGGTACACCTGAACTTACATAACTTTTTGAAAGGCATGTTGAACTAATATTTTCTTGCGACTAATATATTCGACATTGTTGCGGAAACACTGCTATTTTAATGAAATCCCCATGTGAGTAATTTAATTAATTAAATAAATAAATGCATATTCATATCGTGCAGACCAGCTCAGCGAATATGGCTTCGGATGTGTTTCCTTTAGCGCGGTATGCACTCCCACTCGGATTTGCATATTCTACATTACGAGTAAACTTATTTCCCTGACCTAGTTTTCCCGAAACGGATTTTTATATTTTGTATACGTTGGTATAGGTACGCTTATGTAAGAACGGATGTACGAAAATCTTTTCATAAAATTTACATAAACGTCTAATATGCCTTGCGAGGTGAGGTTTTGAACACGCCGCCCCGTAATTTGAAACGTGTAATTTTCCCTATTACATTTTTTTTTATTCACTGTCTGGCGCGAAAACCGCTACTTTAGTTTTACGTGCAGTCAAAAGGAAGGTAATTTTGTTCCGCGTTACTTTAAATATTCTTTAAAACGGTTTTCAAAGCACCTTATAGATACTGAAGCATTAAGTTCTCGATTGAGTTGTTGAAAATTGAATACAATTTGTACATAGGTTTCAAAGTGGGGTTAATTTTAATAGCGGTTCCACAAAAATTCGAACCTCCCTATAATTTTTTAGGAATGAATCCTATGAAAAAGTTAGAACTATAGTAGGTATATCAAGAAACCAATATTGGATTTGATCTTGTCAACTTACAAATATTAAATGAAACGCCTTATTTTTTATGACAGCGATATAAAATTAGTTCATTTTTCTTGTATGTCTTTACAGAATTATTTGGAGGTTAACCGTATTTTTGTCTCAAAAACTAGACAAAATTGTAGAATTTTGGATGGAAACTTATATGGTGACCTTGAACTGGACTTAGCTGATTAGATATCGGTCTCTAGAATATGCCAAACTTCAAAATTCTTGTTAAGACTTTCAGTCGAATCCGTCTATTAAATTTTATTACTTTCATATCAATTATTTTTTATGAAAAATGATCACCTTCAAATGGAATAATCTTTGGAAATTTTTTCGCTTCCATATTCCAACATACGATTGCAATTTTAAAATTGTAATAAATATTCAAAATTGTACCCATTTCTCTGAACAGAGAATTCTGTTCGCGAGTAACTTCTGATACGAGTTCAAATGTTCACAAGACTCTTCAATTATCTGAATTTCTGTTTTGTACACCAAACATTTCATATGGTTTCACGGGTAGAAATTCCACCTACAAGGAAACGTATCATTTAAAAAAATTACGTTCTTCGCATCGGAAGTGCAATATAAGGCACCATTATGCAAAAACCACATACCCCCGTTGATATATTAAGTGGATCTGTAGTTAATTTAGGAACCTATGAATAATAATTAAGTAAAAACCGATTAGGAAGATTGGTATACACCTCCAGAGCATATCTCATCAGAAATATCAACAGTTCGTTCCCTCTTCAAAACATTGTATTTTAGACTACATATACAGACTACAAACAAGTAATTGCACTATGACCTTTCCAGGAACATGGGCGTACCTAAATCAAACAACTGATCAATTAGTCGTGGAGTTTACCCTTCCAAATTGGCCCTTATGCCCAGCAATTTTGTTCCATACGTTCATAACAGTGTCCGTACATTCCGCAGAAGCCCAAAATAAATACTTTATTTGTTTTTCGGGGTCGATTCAGGCCTAGTGTTCTATTCAAATGGTGCATAAGACCCAATCGATCTGATCCTTTGCCCAAGTGTATATAAATTCATTTTGAAAGTGTATGCGAAAGTCAGTTCGTGAATGCTTTAAATTTTCATTTAGAATCCCGCATCACAGGGAAATTTAAACAACGCCTGTTTCTGCAGAAGGTGGATATATAGTTACATACAATATGGGCCACTCAAACAACTTATATCACATAAAATATAAAAGATCTTTGAAATAAGATGAAGTTTCAATGTTTTTAATGAAACATGTTTTAAAATGTATAATTCAACCTTTAACTTACCTAATAAATTTGTCTTTTCAAACTGATAAATTGTTAAAAGTTGAAAATTGTTACTTTCTACATTGGTTAATAAGTTTTATAAAATTTTCTCTTGCTCCCGATTCTTTGAAAATAGTCAGCTCTAATTCTTGCTCAGTTGAAATGGGAGTACCACAGGGTTTATTGTTAGGACCTGTGTTTTTATAATTAATTCAATAGGAAGTGTATTAAATAAAACAGCTGTTATACTATGTATATCGTCGATTTGCCTTTAATTATTTTGGGAAATTTGTTTGATAATTTGAAAATTTTTTTTATTTTCCAAAAATATTGCCATTACTAAATTTTTAAATTGTACGCTCTTTTCCAGTTGTCTCTTTTAAAAACCATGCCACTTATGTCAAAACCGTAGTAGGCCAACCAAAAGAGATTTTTTGGCACACTTAAATATTACAGCAAATTTCATGTATTACCTTTTGAAAAATACTTCTAGTAAATAAAAACCCAAGTGATTTCCCCAGTAAAGTTGTGAACAATTTATTTTTTAAACAATAAAAACTAAAAAAAAATTGCATTAAATTTGACGGTTATGAATTTTTGAAAAAAGATCCTATTGAAAGTAAGACGATTCCATCATTATTTTTCGAGATATTGTAAAAACAAAACAAAAAAAAATATTTTTTGCAATTTTTATTGTTTAAAAAAAATTGTTCATGACTTTGCTGGGGAAATCACTTGGGCTTTCATATACTATTAAAAGGAAATACATGCTGTAATTAATTAAGTGTAAAAACAGCCTCTTTTTTCGCTCTGTTGGTTGGCCTACAGTTACATAGCATAAATATTAAATCAATTTAATCTTGAGGAAAATATATGTACTTAAATAGAAAAATAATTATCCACAAAGTGTTGATGTGCGCTTTATATTGAGATTGTGTTCTTTTATGGAATTATTTTATTTCTGGTCCTAAAAATACGTATATTTTATTCTTAAGGATAATTATTGATTTCACAAATATTTAAGTATTTATTTAATAAAAATCATACAGTATAACTTGTTTGGCCAAAACTGAATTTCGCTTCAATTATAACCAGTTAACAAGAAAGATAAATAATGCAAATAATAAAATAAAACCGTGTTTACCCTTGACCTATGACATTTGACGTAATTTATAACTGATAAATTTTGGTTACTTTCATTCTTAGAAAAGCAAAAATAATTTAAGACAAGTAGAGAGTGGGATAAGTTAAGTATACAGGGAGATTTATTTAAAAAATGGAATGTAGAATGTAATATTTGGCACGTGTCAATCAGGAAAACATTCTACATTCGCGAGACTTTTTTAATATGTTGGTGATTCATCTTGTATAATATTAATATTTCTGATATTTCTGATAATTGTTATTATTCTTTTTACTGTTATTATTCTACAGAATTTTCTTTGCTTTGAAAATATTTAAGTGTAATTTTGTTCAGGTTCTCAGAAACGTTTACTATAAAATTAAAGAAAACAAAATTAAAAAGATGTGTTCTGGCGTATTTGAATACTATCGTGTGCAACAAACATTTTTCTGAGCTACACGTGCAATGCCATTTGTTTTTTCCGACCCATTAAAGAATCCCTCTGCCGCAACAATATTTATTTTGTACACTGTCATTTTATTCTCCTTCAACAAGTGTTTATCCTCTATAGCCTAGTACTGTGACTAGAGTCGAATCCCCTTTAATGGCATTATCTCTTTCGTGTCCCAAGGCAAACACTCCAGCAAGGGTTGAATAAATAATCTGCTTGTTTTGTAAGTAATTTCTTTAGTATTTTAATATCCGTGTTTATTTTAGGAACACGTGTTCTGTTTTAGAAACACTGAAAAGCCAGATCTTTGTTTCTGGTTGTTAATTATGTCTCGTTCATTCGTAATGTTAATTTTTAATTAATTAATGTCTTAAATCCTGGTTTATTTTGACAACGCGTTATATTTTAGAAATACCAAAATTTGTTATACTATATTTAATACCATGATGTTAATTTTAAAGTAATTAGTGCTTTAAACAAAAAAATAATCAGCGTAGTTTAAAACTCCCACGAAATCTATGCTAATAATCACAAAATTATATAATTTAAGACAAATTACTTTTGAGAAATAACCCCGAACAGAACAAATATTTTCTAATCGCGGAAAATACTTAAAAGCACGTAGAACAATCTACCGATCACTATGAATAACATACAGGATGTTTCAGTTCGAGTGAATCAAACTTTAATCACAAATAGAACTCAATAAATAATTCAGAAATGCCTTATAAAGCAAGGGTCTAATTCTCACCGTTTTCATTATACAGGGCCGTATTGGTTCGTTTTTAAAATCATATTATTTACTCTTTGGTATGCTTATAACAAATTGATTCAAATTTGGTGTGGTATTTGGTGTGGACATGTGCATAGTTTACTGTAAAATTTACAAATATTAGTTAGTGTTTGTAGATTTTCTTATTATTCAACTGAGATTTTCGGTAAAACGATACCCTATACCGATTTTCAACAAGTATACCGTTTTAATGTAAAATTGTCCACGGAATCTAAAAATGAATCCCAATTGATTATTAGGTCATTGGCGTAGAAGTTGGGGTAAAAGAATCCCGCTTTACTACGCATTCCTACGCCATTGACCTACAAAAATTTGTAAATTATACAGTAAATTGTGCACATATGTAAATTTTAACACCACACCAAATTTGAATGAATTCGTTATAAACATAGCAAATATTTCCTAAATAATATGATTTTAAAAACCAACCAATACGGGCCTGTACAATGAAAACGGTGAGATTTAGACCCTTGCTTTATAAGGCAATTCTGAATTATTTATTGAGTTCTAGTTATGGTTAAAGTTTGATTCATTCGAACTGAAACACCCTGTATACAGGGTGTCCGGAAATTATGCGTCAAGACTTCAGGAGGTGATTCCCCACAAAAGTTAGGGCCACAAAGTCCTATAACAATTTTTTGAAAACTCAATATTAACGGAGATACAGGGTGTTAAAAAAATTTTTTTTAGTTTTTCTTAGATAACTTTTTTATTTGTGATTTGATTTTTTCCAAGTTTTTCCTATGTATTACTAGTGCCCTTGTAGATTTATGTTCCAAATATGATGCAAATACTCCAGTGCCAAACAGCCTAACCTGACCTTAATCTTCGGTCTATGGCCCACAACTTTTTTGTGTTCGCCGCTTTATAAATTTGAACAGCACCATGTTAAAGAGTAACAAAAATTATTTAAAAAAGTATCTCTTGTTGCGATACAATAAAATGAACCGTTTCTGAGAAAAACGACTTCAAACATTTTCATGTGTTAACGCTGTTTTAAATAGTCCACTTGGTAGAGGTTCGGCCTGTGTCAAACCTTGATAACTAGGAAATAACTACACAGGCCTACTTTAAATGCTGAGTACAATAACAGGCTAATTTGCTGACAAAGTATTTTATCAGGAAAAAAGTTATTAACAATTTAATAGTGAAAAATTTTTTTTTGTAGTTTTCTTTAAATAACTCAGCCGGATGACTTTCTACGAAAAAATGCTTAGGACATGATTTTGTTCGTAATAAAAATAGCTACAAAATGGCGGTGGTCCGAATACGAAATTTGCAATAACAAAGCCGTGAGATTGAAAAAACGGTATGAAACGTCATTTTCTTAAGGTTGCTGTAAAAATGTCAATTATAAAGAAAAAGTGATAAAACTTTCGAAAACTATAGTTCAATATATATATATACAATAATGACGCTAAAGCCGAAAATCAGGAGAGCAAAACTTTTTGTTCTATAAGGTGTTATACATTCATCGGCTTCTGAAACTCGAAACTGCCAAATTTGTTCGAAGCTTTGCTGACACTTGAAATTTGGTACACATATAGTGTAAATATGCAGAAACGAAAAGGAATTTGCAAAATTCAATTATCTTCATTTTTGCAGCTTTGGTAAGGTTTTATATGTCACCGTTTTTTTTAATTTTTGGAAAAATATATATGTATATTTATAAAATATTCCATCATGGTAGATTAACCAGCACAATTACCTACAATTAAAAAAAATATAATTTTTATCGTTTAGATCCTAAGCTACTTAACATTTTGCGCCTGTTAGCACATGTTGATATGTTGAATAATGTACGAGTATGGCCAACGGGCGCAAAATGTTAAGTAGCTTAGGATCTAAACGATGAAAATACATATTTTTTTAAATTGTAGACAATTGTGCTGGCTAATCTACCGTAATGGAATATTTTATAAATATACATAAACATGTTCCTATCGTCACTCCCGATAGGAACATGATTCTCATTTGATTTTTTTGATAATCTTACTAAAAAAATGATCCTTGAAACATATCCGCATGTTGCCAGACGTTACTAATGGTCAAAAATTTTTTTTTAAACAAATTCGTAATTTTCGATTTTGTCGAACAAAAAATCATTATCTTGAAAACGGTAGATTTTAGAGAAAAGCTGCATAGGAACTTTTTTGTTCATGATACCCTAAAAAGCCTAAAAAATTATTTCGAGCGAAAAAATCGAAAATTACGAATTTGTTTAAAAAAAATTGTTTAAACAATTTTTGACTATTAGTGACGTCTGGCAACATGCGGATATGTTTCAAGGGTAACATTTTTAGTAAGATTATGAAAAAAAAATTTAATGACAATCATGTTCCTAGCGGAAGCTACGATATAGCCTGGACTTGTTAGCTATTGTCGTACTTGTGGTACCGAAATATATCAAGTTAACTAAAATTGCGAATTAAAGACCTATAAACCTGATTATTACCGATCATTAACATGTCCGTTTGTTTCAGATTGCATGAAAAGCCGGTGGTGATGGCATAGCCACCACGGGCGCAGGTCGCAGAGAGCATGGCCAGAGTGCGGATGGTCAGATGGACTTGGGCTGTGTTGGCTGGACTGTGCGCTCTGGCCACATGCGAAGTAAGCACCCTACTTGTACTTGTAATAGGTCATCTTCCTCAGTGCTGAACAAAGCGAACTCGAACGGGAATCAAGAATGTGAGGTCCTGACAAATTGCAGTCAGTTTGTTCAGCATGAAGGAAGACGAGTATAGTCACTTGTTTTCAATAGCATTCATTATGTTTAAGGCTGGGCGTTTTAAAGACGGACGCTGTAACGTCTGTTGTAGATGTATAAAGTTGCAAGTAAAGCAAATCATTCTAAATGTATCAATACAGCTTTCTATTATCTTGAGAAGAATGCATATAACTATACAGGGTCGGAAAGTCCCCATGGTTCATCGGCCGTTACGTGAGAGCCATAAAGTAAGTCATAGAAATCCATGCGATAGAGAAGGGTGGCTATAATGAAGGCGTCTCATAGTCACCGTCCGTTTCGCCCTTCCACAAATAAGATCCACTTCCACTTGTAATTCAGCGACCGGTGGTCATCTTTGTTTTCGTCGTTTGCCTTTTCTTTAATAGATGTCACTAATTATACAATTTCGACTTCGGTATTCCGATATGTAAATATCATCCGTTGAACCATGGGGACTTTCCGACCCTGTATAGTAGTGTAGACTAGGAATATGTCTATAGCATTTTATTTTTAACATTAATGTTAAAAGTGTTTTTAACACGTAACATTATAAAAGTAAATTTTTAGTTCACTTAATCAATGAATTAAGTTTTAATGACCGTTTTACAAAAAAATACAATTTATTGGGGAATTATACGAAAATACTTGTTTTTACTTACTCAACTTCGTTATATTTTCAAAATAGTAATGGTTACATCAAACTAATAAACTTTAAAAAGCTTAAGGTAGTGCATTGTTTGTTAACATTTAATATCAGGAAATGCAGTTACCATTGCCATCACTATTTGTTTATTAGATTATCCCTCTGTAGATTGTCAACGAAATAAAGAAAATCTAATAAAAAGAAAGCGAAAGTGGTTATGGCGAGAATTATATTTCATCTGGGATGCTTTAGATATAAGTACTGGTTTTTCCTACAAAAATCAAAATATAGTTTTGCAAATTAATATATATATATACAAAGATGTCATATCGCTTATCTTTGACAATTTACAATGAAATAAGCAGTTAAAAGTTATCTGTATAATTAATTTATTAAGTTAATTTTGACTTAAATTTATTCAATATTTTTGTTCTCCTACAAGTGGACATTAGCGAAATAGTGAATATAAACTAAAATATATACGTTTAATTTATCAGTAATGACTTATAACTAACTCTTTCTTATTATACAGTTTGAGACAGAGTTTGAATCAATTTCATGAATCAAATTTCAAAATACTTAGCGTTATCGAATTCTGGAGATTTTAAAAGTATGTTATATATATCAAACATATTTGAGTAAATGTCACATTGACATCCTGTATCTCGAAAACTATTTTTTTCTCTTTTTAATCTGAGAATTTTCGAGAATATTTATAATAGTCAAAACTGAAATCTTGCTAATTCTCGGAAATATGTTCCTTAAACAATACCGACTCTGAGTATATCTTTGTAACATTTTTAGAAGGCTAAATATAATGTAAACCATTTTTTTTCTACGCTATTTTAGTCCAAAGCGCTTCATTTGTAAGGAGGGTGTTTAAATTTTTAAAAAACTCTTTAAAATTTTGATATTACTGAGTATTTTGATAACTGGATAAATCCATTTGACTCGTAATGGTATTTCAAAGAAAAAATAACTTTAATATTATAAAAATATAAATAAATGTATAACAAATAATTTTAAATACAATGTAGTCATCAAAAATTTGAAAAATCTAGTGGTGCAGCAATTTGCCAATGTTCCCATAAATGTTTTTTTGTGAAACGAATAGTTAGAATTCGTTTGTTTTTATTCAACTGTGTAGTAAAGACTAAAATAAATATAATTATTCGAAAATTATTCGTTTTATGGAAGAGAGAAACAAAATGGAAGAGATATTTTTCTTTCTAATACAATTGGCATTCAAATGAGTCAAATTTACAAAATTATTCAGTTGCGTCGAAATTCTGACAATCTTAATAACTTAAATTAATCATTAATCTACGACGAACTTTTTCCGAAAACAAACACTCTAGACCTACAAACGCAGCAATTTTGTATTAAGGCACCTATATACTCGTACTTCTCAATTATCACATTTTGGTGTGAAAATTATCAAGGTACCATTTGTGTACCCTCATTTAAATACACCCCGTACATATTTTCAACCAGTTGCCTGTCAGAGGCCTATTACGATCATTAAAGCGTATCCCTAACTGTTTACGTTAAACCACATTGTCCCTAGAACAAAACCATTAGCACCTCGTTAGAGCGTCTCAATCAAGGCATATGTTAAGACAAATAGCTTCCTGGACCCCGGCCTTGACATTTTATCCGTGATACATTATTGGCGGCTTGTACCGTAATTGGCCTTTTGATAGATAACAAAGGCGTCAGCAGTGTCAGCACATCCTCCCGAAAACTAAATTGTGTTTTCCACCGACAGGACCCCAACCGCTGCATAATAGGCTGGCGGTTCAGCAACAGCCGATCGTTTTGTAATTGCTGTTCGGCGATTGTTTCCAAGCATGACATATAACGAACGAATACGGATTCACATGGATATTTTTAGGTCCATATTATTACACTATAAAACAGTTGTATGTATGTATGTATGTATGTATGTATGTATGTATGTATGTATGTATGTATGTATGTATGTATGTATGTATGTATGTATGTATGTATGTATGTATGTATGTATGTATGTATGTATGTATGTATGTATGTATGTATGTATGTATGTATGTATGTATGTATGTCGGAGGGTGGTGGAATTGTTTTTCCACCGCGGCACTTAGGCCTTATTAGGCCCCTTGTCCTTCATTACTCGAGTACTTTTCTTCAAATCATCCTATTTACTACACGGGTGACTTGGTGGCAAAGTCTCGTACAGTTTATGTATGACAGCATGGTCTTGAGTTACATAGATTTTCTTTGCTCTGTTTTCATTACCATTTATTGGGGACCACACGCATGCGGCAAATGTTGGGCGACCCAAGTCTCTGGTAGGCTGCCACAGCCACGTCCCCGAGCCTGCCTTAGGTCACCCATCCAAATTCCAGCCTGCGTCCGTGATGCTTGCCTCGGCAGATCGAAATCCACCGGCCAAGACAACCGGCTAGGCAGTCCCCACTATAAAACAGTTAACATTTTATATTATCGCAATAAAATATAATGTACATGCATTTCAGCAGTTGTAAAACAGGTTAAACACATTTTTAATTAACTTTTTTTCTATGACCTTAAACTTCCGGTACAAGTTTGTGACATAAGTTCGTTAACAACCTGTATACGTTAACATCCTTGTCTCGTATGATTTAACTCGTAATATATAAAAAATTGCTACCTCTGTAAATCAAAAAATTTTGTCGAGGACATTTTTTGTTGTTTTCCTTTTATAACACACCAACTCTAACGAACAAAAAAAAAACAGGGGTGTCATAATATTTTTACAGAGTATATATCCTCATGGCAGTATATTTATCCTGTTTTCCCCATTTGCGAAGGTAAAGTAGCAATATTTTTGCGAAATAAAAATGCGAGGGCTTGTTAGAAAAGTTTTTTACGACAGGATACATTGTATCAACTCTTCAACGAGACAGGAAATTACTGGGTTTAATGCTAAGGTATACGGTTATATTTTTTGTTTGAAAAACTCATAATCATATAAAAATTGGTCCTTGTTTCTTCTACCCCTATTAGAATGTACCTTGGTGATGAATTCAATAAATTTGTGTCTTGTGTGTAGAGTAGACGTCTTTTTAGTATATCAAAAATTTGTATAGTATTATTGCATAAATATCAAACGCAATACAATTGAGGATAGTCTATGGAAAATTTTCAAATCGATGGAAAACAAATTAAACATTATGTTCTTAAATTAGAATCTAATTGCAGGCATTAGTTCATTAGTTACTATCGGTAATGACATTCATATTTAAAATATGTATATTGTAGCTGTTTCAGAGGTATTTGTTGAAATATATTATGAAGTTATATGGAGATACATAAATTGAGAATTCAAAAATATATTATACGATACAATAGGGTAGATGTTGTGTGCATACAACGCATGAAATATGGCTTTTAGCCAGTTGGTAGAGGTTCGGCCTGTGTCAAACCTTGATAACCCGGAAATAACTACACAGGCTTACTTTAAATGATGAGTACAATAACAGGCTAATTTACTGACAAAATATTTTATCAGGAAAAAAGTTATTAACAATTTAATGGTGAAATTTTTTTTTAGTAGTTTTCTTTAAATAACTCAGCGGGATGACTTTGTACGAAAAAATGCTTAGGACATGATTTTGTTCGTAATAAAAATAGCTATAAAATGGCGGTGGTCCGATTACGAAATTTGCAATAACAAAGCCGTGAGATTGAATAAACGGTATAAAACGTCAATTTTTTAAAGTTGCTGTAAAAATGTCAATTATAAACAAAAAGTGATAAAACTTTCGAAAACTATAGTTCAATATATATACAATAATGACGCTAAAGCCGAAAATCAGGAGAGCAAAACTTTTTGTTCTATAAGGTGTTATACATTCATCGGCATCTGAAACTCGAAACTTTGCCAAATTTGTTCGAAGCTTTACTGACGCTTGAAATTTGGTACACACATAGTGTAAATATGCAGAAACTAAAAGCAATTTGCAAAATTCAAGTATCTTCATTTTTGCAGTTTTGGTAAGGTTTTATACGTCACCATAGTTTTATACTTATACAGTACTTCCCCTGGTAAATTACAATAATTCTGACTACTACTATTTCAAACAACTAATTTTTATTGTTTATTAAGTTGCAATCGTTATGATAGTCACCGCTCCTAAACCGTCTTGATTCAAACACGAATCAATTGATTTCAAATACAAATTAAATTGTTGTATATAATACAATTGTGTTATTTTA